CCCCAGACCTCTGCAAGGCCACGTGCCCCGCCAAGCAGAGCAGCATCCCAGGCACCTTCTCATGGACCAAGCTGCAGCCGCTGATCACCATCGGCCGCGTGCAGCAGCACATACGCGCGTTCGGCGGCGTCGGTGAGCACGCGGCCTGGCCCGGCCCCCTGTTTCGGCTGCAGGGGCACAAAGCTCGGCCGCCGCGCGCCGGCAGGAGGGACCGGGGCTGTGGCAGCATCCTTTCCAGTGAGGGGCTTCCGGTCAAGCCCCAAGGGGGCTGAGGAGCACGGGCAGCCGCGCACGCTGGAGGCACCGCGCGTTGAGCGTGCGAGCCCTCGGCACCGCCGCCACTGACGTGGCTCCCCTGGCGTCCGCCGTCACGCTCCTTCCCGCGCAGTCACGCGCGTCAACCTGCAGAAGGGATTCAGGGAGTGGTTCAAGGGCGAGAACAAGACGAGGGTCTACCAGGGTGGGCGGGGGTGCTTCCGAGGGTCGAGGCGGCTGCTTTCAAAACTCGTCGCCCATGCCGCCGGCATCTCCGCCCTGCTCCCTGCTGACTTCTGCTTCAAATGGCTGTCGCGGAGCCTGAGCACCCGCGCTCTGCCTGCGCTCGGTTCCCTGCCTGCAGGCGGCCCCGACGACCCCAGCACAGACCAGGGTCACGCCGTCCTGGTGGTTGGGTACAGCAACCAGGACAAGTACTGGATCATCAAGAACAGGCGAGGCCCCGGGGTTTGACCTGACAGTTGACTTGCGTACCGGCGGGCGCGTTAGGCGCGAGCGCTGCCGATGTTCTCGGTGCTGTCTCTGCCGCTGGCCGCGTATGAGGAATTGCGCAGGGGAGCACTGGCGTTGATTGCTTGATTCCTGAATCATGACAGCGCCGCCGCCCGTGCGCCCCTCATGCCTGCTTCCGCAGTTGGGGCACCAACTGGGCCGACGGAGGCTTTGGCAAGGTGAATTCACAGGAGGGCGGCGCTTCTGGGCACACATTCTCCCCTCCACTATGTTTTCGACCCCAGTATTCTAGCCCTTCAGTGCCGCTGCCTGCACACCGCCATCGGCTCGGCGAACCGGCGACCGCTGATCCGCGTGCGGCAGCCGCACGAAACGTGAACTGCGTGGGCACGCAAACTCGCGCTTCAGCCCCTGGGGACCCTCATTTTTCCCCGGCACGCGTCCCACCCCGAAACCCCCCATCGCGTCAGGTCAAGTTTGGCATTCTGGGGATGATGGATCCCGCCGACACGTTTGGGATTTCTTGGTACCCCGCAGACCCGTCCGTCGCGCCGCCGCCGCCGCCGCTCAAGCCGGGGCCCTCGAGCAACTGCTTCGTCTACGAGAGTGAGCGCCGCGGGGTGGTGATTGCGTGGGGCGCTCAAGAAATGCTGCTTTCGCGGCGATGGGAGGACTGGGACGTCTGTCTGCCATGACATTGTTTGTCCCTTGATCAACACAACAAGGCCTGTATACGCCAGACGCTCGCACGCTCACCTGCTCATCTACACACACACAAACACACACAAACACACACATATGCACATACGCACAAGTTACGCATGTGCACGCTTGCATGCACGTATTTTATGCATGCATGCACAAACACGCACGCTTGCACGACCTTCGCGCTCACTCAGCAATGACTCACCTTCTTTGACCACCTTCCTCCACTCGCCTGTGCAGCCACACCCCTGGACTACGTGTCCAAGGTAGCGTTCACTTTTGGCATCACCGTCGAGTCGCTGCTGAACGCCAATGCCGCCGCAATCCCCAAGATGGATGACTTCCTTGCGGAGGGCACGCTGCTGAAGATTTGTTCCCCAACAAGGAACGTTGCGACGGCCGCCAAGCCCCCTGCCGCGGCCGCGCCGGCGGACGCGGCGGCGGCCACCCCAGCCGCCAAGCCGGCAGCCCCTGGTGCTGCGGCGGCAGCGGCGCCTCAGGGCGCGGGGAGCGCCTCGGCGTCGACAGAGGGGTGCTCGCCCTATCTGGGCTGTGTGCCCGACCCGCCTCCGGCCGCGGCCGCGCCTCCTGCCGGGAGCGCGACAGGGTTCCTCGGCAAGCGGCACCTGCGGCTGCAGCGCCTCAGGCGGCTGCTGCTGCTTGCGTGACGACGGACATTCTGGCAACAGCGGGTCGCGCGCGCCACCCCGCATGGGTGACTCTTGCATTATTGCACCCGCTGTCGGTGGGTGTGTTGCGACAGGCTTGCGCAGCGCACACCCAACTTGACTGAGATCGTGGGGCATCAGGACCACTTTCAGCAGGATGGATGGCTGGTGACAGGGTGCACGCTGGCACGTGCGTATTTATGTTGGCTTGTTGGACGGTGTCACGGCCTAGGATCCAGGTGTCGTTTTGCGTCGCAACGCCCCTGTCGCTCGACTCTCAGCGCAGTGTTTCTCCACCAAGTCGGATGGAAATGGAAGGCGTTGTGAGATTGGAAGGATTAGGCAGCACAGAGCATGCATGCACGCGCGCGCACGTGTGTGTGTGTGTGTGTGTGTGTGTGTGTTTGCGTGTGTGTATGTGTGTGTGTGAGAGACACAACATACACCCATACAGGGACAGCTGCGCGCATTGACTAACGCTACCCATTATCAGCCCTGCGATCTGGGCTGCCATTATATATGCGTGGCTTCCTTTAGTGGCTGGTGCTCGGAAGCCGCTGGCAGTTGTGCTGACGTGTGGCTCAAATGGATTGGCATCCCATGCAGCCCCCCCCCCTCCTATTAGTCTTGCAGGCTTCCTTGCTGGTGTATTAGGTTGGGGCCCAGACGGCATCGCGCCTTGACAGGCCTGCTGGGGCAAACGATGTATACAGCCCAGAGGCCTTGAGACCCGGGCTTGCCTTTGGTATTGTGGACCTTGCGGTCGCGCTGGGACACTTGTGAACGCGTACACTGGTTGCAGAGTGGCTGCAGCCATTGCACCTGCGCGTGTGTACTGCGTGGCAACGGCGGGCCGCTCCGTGTGCCACTTTTTCGCGCAGCTCGGCCCCTCATACTGTATATACATGTTCTTCGGCAAGTTTTTTGCCAGCGGGTGCGAAGCCCCTCCAACCAGGGATAAACACACTCGGACTGCATACTACGTCATCTTCAGCTCAATTTTACCGCTGCTGCATGCGTCAGTCGCTAGCAGGGTGTTGCCCTTCTCCGACCTGATAGCCCTCACCCAATCAGGATCTCAGGCTGTTGCTACTGCACAAGCTTACAGATGCGACTCAATTGCATGTTGTGGAGGCCCCTGCCACTGCACATTTCCAAACGTCTTGCTACCTATTGCAAGCGGTGAGCGCGCAATCGGCGTGCCGCGCGTGCTCGCACCTTTGGCAAAAAGGCGACGGGGCTGTCATGCTGGGCTGTTGATGTCAGGTCGGCTGCAATGTTTGCGGGCGATGCGTGATCCAGGCGCGTGGGTTGATGTCCTGTGGTCTGACTGACACGTATGCACTTGGGTAGACAGACCAAGGGTATTGCTTCCTAGTACTGTTGCAGGTGGCACCGATGTGAGACACAAGTCTATCAACGCACATGACGGGAACAGCCAGGGGTTCCACCCGCCCGTGTGCCTGCAAGCCAAGCCCAGTCCGAACTGACAACCCTGGCCCAGTCCATCCTCAGAAGCGCGAGCGCCAAGCACACACAAAATCAGAGCTAGCAAATCGATGTGGTAGAGAGCAGCTGCATCATCTTCATAAGGTATTCGTTGGAGTGGAATGCCAGCCGTACTTCATGGTGGGCCCTTTCGTGGCTGTTTCGGCGGCATCGTCAACCCAGGTGATGATGCACATCAGTCCCATCAAGCATCACCTTGATTGCCGAGCGGTGGTGCTATCCTAGGCATTGGATATGTCAATGCTGTGCGCGGCTCTCGCTTTCCAGGGAGCTTGCGCAAAGGCGCTTTATCGTGATCTGGCAGTCAGAGCGCGATGGGCACTAAGCGCATAGCTGTTGTTGGGAGCGGTATCAGTGGATTGTCCGCGGCTTGGCTGCTGCACAGGTGGGGTGTGTTGGCCGCGAATCACCAGCCACTGCGTTTTTTCTGTATGCGCTTGCAGCGCGGAAGAAAAGGCGGACGCAATCCTGTTTCGCAGGTCTAGGCATAATGTGACCCTGTTTGAGGCGGAGGAGCGATGTGGCGGGCACACGCTTACCGCCGATGCTGGTGGCGTGCCTGTGGACCTCGGCTTCCAGGTCCGGTTGTGCTGTCGTGCAAAGCACCGTGCAGGTCCTCCAAATTCAGCCGTCATTTCAACGACGCTGTCATCTGGAGCGAAAGCGGCGAACTGGTGTCCTGATGTGCCTCGACGGATTCCGGCCTCTGCAGGCAGCAGCATCACACTTGATCCAGTCAAACACTCCCCTGGCTGCTGCCTGCGGGATCGGCGCCTCGCCATGCGCACGCCCGGGCCACTTGTCCACCACGCCATGCGCGCTTGTGCGGAGCCATACACCCACCATGCATGCGCTCATGTGCTCGCCTGACGCGTCCCTGCGCCCATGCGCCCGCGCACCGTCCAGGTGTACAACCTGACCACCTACCCGCACTTGGTGGGCTTCTTGGAAGCCCTGAAGGTCGACACTGAGCCCTCAGACATGTCCTTCTCGCTCAGCATCGACGGCGGCAAGCTTGAGTGGTGCGTGGGCCCCCTGAGTACCGCATACATGGTTGAAGAAATGCAACAGCAGCGCGCCGGACTGCAAGCGCTGTTGGCGGCGGTCTGGTGAAGTTGCACCGCGTGTGGCGCTCGGGTTCGAAGCATTCCTCGATGCACCTGCGCAGCCGCATGTGCAGCAGGTTACTTGCAACAGGCAGCAGGGCGCAGCGTTGTGCGTTGCTGCCGGCAGCCAGCCACACGAGCCTGCTCGCTCGCGGCCCCTCGTTCCTTGCGCCCCCAGGGCCTCTATCGGCGACCTGGACACCATCTTTGCGCAGCGCTCCAACCTGCTGAGCCCCACCTTCCTGAGGATGGTGTATGATGTGATCCGCTTCGGCCGCGAGGCGCCAAAGGTGCGCACGCCCTGCAGCGGTAGCGCCGTTTGGGGGCTCCTGCGCGGGTGTCGTGGCTGACACCACCACTTGATCACCTGTTGACCGTTCTGCACGAATCCCACTGTTCTGCGGCGGCCAGGCCGGCTGCTTCTACTCTGCACCTCTTCCCGTGCCTGACACGCTGCGACCCTCACTGCTGCGTCGTCCCTGCGTGGCCGTCTCGAATCTGCAAATCATTTATTGCAGGTCTTGGAGCCCGGCCACTCTGCGGCGGCGCGCGACCAGACGCTGGCGTCCTACCTGCAGCAGCACGGGTACAGCGACGCCTTCCGCCGCCACTACTTGCTGCCCATGTGCGCCGCCGTTTGGAGCGTGCCCAATAGCCAGGTGGGGCGCAGCGCAGGCGCGGGCGGTCAAGGTTGGCACAAGCAGCGGCGGCGCTCTCTGGGTTCCCCGACCGCTGCCCAGTCCGGAGACCGCGGCTCCGTGCTGCATGTACACTTCCACAGCCAGGTCACTTGATACCAACATTTGTGTACAACCAACATACAGCGTGTGTATACCTTGTGCACTCTGTGCGTTTTTCAGGTGCTGGAGTTTCCGGTGCAGATGCTGGTCCGCTTCTGGGTCAACCATCATCTGCTGGACCTGACACAGCGCCCCAAGTGGCGCGTCGTGAAGGGCCGCAGCCAGGCCTACGTCAAGGCCGTGCTGGCAGGTGCGGGCCGGGCCGCGCAGCAGCCGGGGGCGCGGGCGACCACCTAGTCCAGGAATGGCTCGAGGGGCGCCGCTCCTTGCCACCACCACGCCAGCTGTGCGGCTCCCAGGGCTGGTCTAGCAATCATGATGCCAGGAAATGTTCCGCACAATCCAACCCGTCGCCACAGAGCTGCCTGAGGTCCTCACCAGCACCCCCGTCGCCTCGATCGAGCGCCTGCCCGGCGCGTCCCCCGCCGTCCGCGTCACCCCTGCCGGCGGCGGCACGCCGCGCGATTTCGACGCCGTCGTCGTCGCGACGCACAGCGACACGGCCCTCAAGATGCTGGGGGCGGGCGCGACGGAGGCGGAGCGAGAGGTGCTGGCCGCCATCCCTTACAACAAGTGCGTGGCCGATGGAAGGCGGCAGACATCTTGACAGCAAGCTCTGGCTGCTGGTCCTCGTGCATGCTAAGCACTTGCAACAGGCCGTGGCGGCTCTTCACCCGCCTGTCGCCCCCCCAAAGACCTGCCCCCATTGTTCCTGAACATTTGGTCTCTTCCCTGCCATACCCCAGCCCACTCCACTCCACTTACCCGCCCCAACCCCTCACACCTGCACGACCCGCCCCCCTCGCACCTGTCGTCTGCTGTGGACGCGCGTCCGACCCCACAGCAACGACGTGTACCTGCACACCGACGAGACGCTCATGCCGCGTCTCAAGAAGACGTGGAGCAGCTGGAATTTCCTGGGTTTTAGCAGCGGGCCCGGGGCTGGGGACGACTCAGCCGTGTGCGTGTCGTACTGGCTCAACCTGCTGCAGGTGTGTGCGTGTGTGTGTGTGCATGTGCGTGTGTGTGTGAGAGATTGAGAGAGGGGGAGTCCAAAAGAGAGAGAGAATGAGGGACAGAGAGGGGCCTGCGCACGCGCGTGGGCGTGTGCGCACATGCCCGTGTATGACACAGAAGCCCCAGCCAGCATCAGGTCGTGGCCCTGTATGCTACGTGACGACCCTGCTCCTTAATTCGTTTGTCCACCAAACATACTTGTGAGTCCGCCACCCGCCTTGCGTACTTGGGCCCGCAGAACCTGCCGCCCAGCACCCCCCAGCTGTTCGTCACGCTCAACCCGCCGCGGCCGCCGGCAGAGGGCACCGTTGTGAAGCGGCTGCAGCTGGCGCACCCCGCCTTCAGCTTCGCATCTTACAGGGCCCAGGAGTGCGTTGCCGGCATCCAGGGCACCGGCGGCGTCTACTTTGCGGGTGGGACGCGATTGGTATGCTAAGGGCTGGATAGGGGCGCCGACGAAGCCGTCTCTCACGCATTCTAGTAGCACATGGCTGTCGTGAGCTGCCGCAATAGCCAGTGCTATCGTTGCATCCCTACAAAGTGTGCCGGACCCCTTGCTTCTCCGGCCCCATTCCCCTGAGCCATGGCGCTGTGTGTTTTCCACGCCGGTGCGCTCGCAGGGGCGTGGTGCGGCTACGGCTTTCACGAGGACGGCATCAAGGCCGGCGTCGCCGCCGCCACCCTGCTGGGTGCCAAGGTGGGCGGGCCTCCTGGAGAAGCCCCAAACATCAGCCCACGCCCCAGAGGGGCCGCCCACGCCCTCGTCTGACACACAGGTCGCAGTTGGAATGCTGTATGTTTCGTACGTTTACACCAGCCAGCGCTGCGGCGCTGCGACCGGTGCACAGCTGGTTGAGGCGTCCTTGCCTCGCGGCGCGGCGCAGGTGCCTTGGACGCCCATCAGCACGTCCCCCAAGATCGGCATCGCGGACGCGTTCTTCCTCGGGATCTTCGACAAGTGGGTGGCCCCTTCTCGCGCGTCGCCCGCCGGCCCTGAACTGCCTGCCCCCCAGCCTTGGCCTGGTGAATAGCGAGGCGCGGCGCTTGACTTGGGGAGCGCCCTGCCTGAGCCGCTGCGCGCGGGCGGCCCTGTCCTCTGTATCCCAGGTTTGCGCGCGCGACCATCAAGTTTGGGCGGATGCGCATGATCCTGCCCAACGGCGAGGAGCGCTTCTACGGCAACGGCGAAGACATCGAGCCGCCTGTGCCCAAGGGTGAGGGCCCGCGGGGCAGGGACCTGTGCAGCACAGGCCCCTGTACTCATGCGCGACTGTGGGTGCATGTGCAAGTTTGACGCAATGGCTGGAGAGGTCTCTGCTTGCTGCCAGACTGCGCCCCGCGCATTTCAGGCCGTCGAGCATTTCGAGCATTTCCACAAACCCTGGCGCACCCTGACCCGCGCCCCCGCCGCTGCCCAAAACCGACACCCGCCAACTGGCAGGCCAGGAGTGGCGCGGCCTGCCGCGGCGCGAGGCGACGATGCGCGTCCTGAGCATGTCCCTGTTCAAAAAGATCGTGGTGAAGCACGACGTGGGCATGGGGGAGGCCTACATGGACGGAGACTACCTGGTGGACGATCTGGGGGTGAGTGGGCTTGCCTCGGACAGCTGGCTGCACGTGAGATCTGATCTGGGACGGGCGTGATCTGATCTGTTGCTTTGAGAGGCGGCGTGGTGAGTGGAGCTTGCTCGGACGTGGCAGAGGATGCTTTTGCTTGTTATCTCACCTTGTACCGGAGCGAGCAAAGTGTCGATCTCGCATCCTGGATGTTTAACCCCTCCTGCAACTTGACAACGCTGCGGTCGCATCGCGCCACCGCAGGCGCTGCTGGCGCTGGTGGTGGCCAACGCGCGGCAGTTGAACGAGCAGAAGGGCCTGCTGGGGGCGTTCAGCTGGATCGGGGACCGGCTGCTGCACTGGGCGCACCTGCAGCGCTCAAACACGATCGAGGGTGCGCGCGGGGCGGGCCGCAGCGGCGACGCTCCGGCAGGGACGGTAGTGCGGAGCGCCGATTGGGTTTCTCCTGCCGCTGCCGCGGGTCACATGCGCGCGCCCTCCTAATCAACGCACGTGTGTCTGCTGAAATGCCTTACATACATGCACACGTGCGCGCGCGCGCGCACACACACACACACACACACACACACACACGCACGCACGCACGCACGCGCGTGCACGCGCGCGTGCGATTGCAAATTCCACGCACCCCATCCACACCGCCACCCGGCGATACGCCCCACCCCCCACCCCAGGCTCCCGCCGCAACATCGAGGAGCACTACGACGCCGGCAACGCCATGTACTCCCTCTTCCTGGACCCCTCCATGACGTACAGCTGCGGCATACACACGGGGCCGGGGGAGAGCCTGGAGCAGGCGCAGTACAACAAGCTCGACGCGGTGGGCGGGAGGGGGGTTCAGGGGTCAGGGTTCAGGGTTTGGGTTTTATAGAGCGTCTAGAGGGGGGCCGATGGGACTGGCGGGCGACCAGAGGCCTTTCTCTGGAGCTTTGAAGTCCAGGGCAAAGGAGAGGGGGAGCCCTTAGGTCGGCTGGCTGTTCTCGCCCGGTCGTCCGACACGCGACCGCTCGCGCCGCCCCATCGACGATCCCGCCCAGATCATCGACGCGGCCGGGCTGGGCCCTGGGGACAACGTTCTGGAGATCGGCTGCGGCTGGGGCTCCATGGCCATCCGCGCCGTCCAGCGCACCGGCTGCAGGTGATTTGAGGACCCGCCCACAAACACCCACCCACTTTCTCCTCACCCACCCACGCACCGACCGAACCACCAACCCGCCCATCCGGTCCCCTGCACCCCACCTTGTGCGCGGCTCATGGCGGCGCTGGATGCTTGGCAGGCGCCCCTCTCCACACCCCGTACCTGCCTGCTGGTGCCGCCCACACGCCCCCTTCTTAAACTCAACCTTCAGCCCGCGACCCTGCCACTCCATGCTCCATCACGCCGTCACCCCGTCACCCCATCGCCCCAGGATGACGTGCCTGACGCTGTCCAAGGAGCAGCTGGCTGAGGCGGCGCGCCGCGTGGACGACGCGGGGCTGTCCGACTCCATCACGCTGCTGCTCTGCGACTACAGGTGCGCTGGCGCCCACCTCCATTCCTGCCCAACGCTCGCTTGCTCCTTAATTGTTTGTGGGTTTATATGCACTACTCATCCCTTGTTTGTCTCTCCCCATTTTGCCTGTTTCAGTTCCTCCTTTGTTTGCACACGCTTGGACGCGCATGTGCCCGCGCGCACACACACACACACAAACACACGCGCACACACACACGACACACACACACCCCAGGGACTGTCCCGGCGCCGGCACCTACGACAAGGTGGTGTCCTGCGAGATGATAGAGGCTGTCGGCCACGAGCACCTGAGGTCCTACTTCAGCCAGATCGGGCGCATGCTCAAGCAGGGGGGCAAGGCAGTCATCCAGGTGGGCCGCCGCGGCCGCACGGCGGGAAGAGGGGAAGAATGCGTGCCCGCCGCACGCGCTTCGGCGGGGGAAGTGGGTGGGGGTGATGATGAGTGCGGCGCGTGCTCATTTTGGGGCTGTCGCCCGCATGCTCGCTGCTCGCGCTGACGGCGCCCATCTCTCGATATCGAAATCGTTTTGCAGGTGATCGCCCAGCCGGACGAGCGGTACGCGTCGTACTGCAGCAGCAGCGACTTCATCCGGGAGCACATCTTCCCGGGGGGCCACCTGCCCAGGTGAGTGCCTGCCCCCGGCCGGCGCTCGCGCCCACGCCGCCCGTGACGCTGCATCCGTTGCTGGCGCCCTGCTGCACTCTCTCTACCACCCTGTTTTTGGGCATCATCAAGAGCCTCCCCGTCAGACCCCGCTTTCTGGTCCGGCAACCTGTGTATAGCCGCAGTTTGACAGAGCAGGGCGCGCCGGCTCCCAACCGTGCGCTGCAACCCGTCTCCCCCCCCCCCCCCCCCCCCC